TGAAAAAATTATATTTTGTGTATATTTCATTCGAATTTTGTGCTTTATCCATAGGACCTGTTTTGTCCCTATTCTCAAGAATCTCTGTTTCACGGTGGACGAGTTTATATTGCAAACCTGTACATTTTGTCTTAAGGCTCCCAAATGCTATAGTGTACAGTGCGTACTCTGTGATCAGCATGAAAACTGTGCGTAAAGTTATAGTTTTTGTCTATAGCTTTCAAAAGAAGCTGTTGGAAGGCTGAATAGACTGCTGACATTGCAATTATTTTTTTTCCATTATGTGAGACTGCACCTCCAACTGTATGGCACGAACAAGAAGTATGTGGCAGGATGAGCATCTTGACCTGTTAGACTATAATGTAACTCTTCTTCTTTTTCCTTATTATTTCAAATGTAGAAATAATGAAAAAACAAAGAAAATATTTGGACACAATTATTTGCTGTTGCTTTCAGGTAAAGTGGCTTCCATCCTACTATCCAAACACGTGTATAATAGGTTAATTGGCCGCTGTAATTAGACGCTAATTGACTGAAGACACTGTGAGCTCATTCAATGGTTCTCTGTGATGAGAGTTTGTGGGTATGACTATCTATGTCGTGTGTTTCTGTGTTGCCCTATGCTGGTCAACACACTCTGGAAAAGGTCAACCAAGGTGCCTTAATTGCCTCTAACTGCTGCAGACAGAAACAACAATCCCTTTCAATGTGTTAAAAAATTATCAATGGATGAACATCATTCGTTTTAACACAAACGTTACATTTTTATTTTTCTGGGTAACTGGTTCCTTTTTTTTTTAACCCACCCTTCACATTTGACCCTTTAGCCCATTTTAAGGGTTGAAAACAGAACCCACAACATGACCGTGTTGTATTAAATGCCCAAATATGCACATATCCAACCCCAAACTGGGATGGGCTGCTTTTTACCTTGAAGTTTTTAGAGTGTGACCTTTAATGTCATTCACTTTTGTATATTTATGGCATAAACACAAAATCTTTTGTTAGTTTTGGATCTCAAAAGCAAGAAAACAAAAATATGCAATTCTACAATGAAAATTTTAGTTCTTGTTATTCTGCCAAAACAGATTAGTTTTGTTTAATCAGCAAAACACATTGACAGAAGCAAAAAAAAAAAAAAAAAAAAAACCTTTGTATTTAGCTTTTAAAATGAACTGCTTATCTTTGTTCGTGCTTTCTCATAAAATGTACCCACTATAATGCTTAAAAGCTAAATAAATATGTATAATGAGCACAAGAAGTGACCATTTAAACAAATTAAAGGGATTATTTTACTCAAAAGACAGAAGCACATCATCAAACTAATCATTCCAGTCAGAAGGGCCAAAAATCAGCAGATATATCAAATGGGAAACAGACGACAAAATGACTTGAATAAATTAACTGACAAATAATATGGATAAGAATAAGGCAGTATCATACTGAGGGGTTATACAGCAGCAGCTACATTAAAATCTTCAACTAACTCAGAAAAGAAAACAGGAAAAGAGGCGGAGTGATAGAAGAGCTATCATCGGGAAAAGAAGGAGCAAGGTGCCTTACCGGATGAAGAAGAGGTGATGGATGGATGAAGAAAGTAGAGTCCTGTTGGTCTAAAGCGCTCAACTCCGCTCTCACACTAAACCAGCTGTCCGGTCGGTCACTTTTGATCGATCCTGAACCGACCAGCGTCTCCAGCCCGCAGGTTCCGCCCGCACTTTGGCCGAGCAGCCATCAGTCAGTCAGCCCGTCATCCTTCAGGTATCCGGACACTCCGGGACTCTGTCGGAGCCGGAGAGTGGCGCGCTCTCCGCGGCACACTGCCTCCGCACTGCGCATGTCTGGCCCCCGCCTTCACTAACGCGCTCAACAAATAGAAACAGGGACATATAGAGTGTTTAGAGAGGCAAACACGCACACACAGAGACACACACACAACTGTACGAGTGGATAAGCATGTAAGGAAAAATACAAATGTCGCGTACGCTGTGTGTGAACGCTACTGTTTGCCGCTGAAAGTTGTAAATACAGGCTGGAGCGCACCGTGTTTTTCATCATCTTTTTGTGTTTACAGTCAACTAACTCAGTTTTCCGGTGTCATAATGAGGGATCATCTTACTTTCCTTCTGGTTTCTGAGTGGGTTTGCTGGGTGGTCTCTGCTGCGCCACTTCACTCCGACTGACCCTCAGGTTGCACAATCTGGCTTTATGTTAGATTGCAGAAGTAATTATGTGGCTGCTGACGCTGGAAACAGGAGGTCTCATGGATCCCAGGAATATCTCTATATTTGCCATACAAAAAGGTGTTTATTGATGACTTCTAGATTTAGGAAACATCACAGACAAAACTGTCTCTAGTATCAATAATAGAACACTCTAGTTATGAAGATGCGTTTGGGAAAAGTGTAATTTTGTTTGAAGGAGAGAAATTAAACACTGGAAAATGTACATTTTGTTCCTTTTCTGTTGCAGAGTCGAATCCCCAATTATCTGCAGGAGAAAAATAGAAAGGTTATTAAAAATGTAACATCTTCCACTAAGGACCACAACGGACTTTTTTGTTTTGTTTTATTGCACAAAGTAAGGAAGCCTTTTTTTAATTTATAAATGTTTAAGATTTTGATCTTTTTTTGAAAAAAAATATTTACCCATCTTGTCAGTAAACATGTTAACCAGCCTGCAGCTTCTAAACTGAAAGACGTCAAATTCAACATGAAAAATAGGCGCTTTAGCAACGAGTTTTAACATTAAAGTATTAAGTGAAGTGAATTATGGTAAAATTCCCCGCATTAGTGTGAGTCAAAAGAAAATAGATTTCTCTTTAGAAACCAAGATTTGACTGCAGATGGTCTTACCAAGGTCCTTTTCAATGGGTGTTTTTGTTGAAAACTGCTATATTGAAGGGAAACATGCAGAGACAGAAAGTGTGACCTCAGAAAGTTGAATTTAAAGAAAACGCTGTGGAGTTTAGTTCACATGTAAAATCAGCAACAACAACTTAATTCCTAAAATATATCTGTTTCTTTTCAGATATTTCATCTTGATTTGCTTTGTCTTAACTGAGCTGGTTAAATAATGAAATGTATATGACATTGTAAGCTTATAATGTATGATGGATTCTTCAGGTCCGCTCTAATATAGATCACTGCAGTAGATCCGTTCTGCTGCAACATTGAATTTCTCTCTAATATATTAATAAAATAGTGTTGAATTGAATTGATCCCAGTTATACACTTACTAGAAAGCTCACTGGGGGGGGGGGGGAAAATATTTTAAAACTTGAATGAAGGGATTTATGAAATATTTAATTGAGATTTCTATCTCTGAGATAGACACAGTAACATCTGTGTAAACTGAATCAGTGGTACCTTTGCCATTTTTTTTTAAAAAAAAGGGCTTTTTTGTTTCATTTTTCTAAACAAAAATGAAACAAACGTCTAAATGACATTAGTCTGATGTTCAAATGATCTGATCATCTTAAAATGAAAGCTGGAATGAAATATTTATGGAGTCGGTTTCTCTAAAACCATTGCATTATGTATGTTTTTTGTTCCCACTTTGTTTTAGATATGTTTCATATAAAAATATTAAAGTATATTCTCTTTAACATTTGCTTTTACCTGCATGTGGCACAGATGTTTCAATGTTTTTGAGCCTTACCTCAAAACAACGTGGCTCAAGAGAGAGAGGATCGACGTGAGCCGTGGTTATTATCCAGACCCTTGAAGTCGATACATGAACAGAGCGCTTTACCGTTCTGAGTCTGGAAGAATAAACCTGCACCCAAAGGAGAGAAAGAAAGACAGTTTAATTATACCAGCAGTCAAGGAGCCACTGATGTTGTTCTTCAAGGCAGATATTTCAGGTCGGGACACGTTACAAATTTGACTGGACAGCAGTAACGCTCGGCTAAATAGCACAACTGTTGCTGTCTGGGCGATAAGGATATCTGAGTAAATTAAATCCAAGGAAAGATTGTGGCTTCACTGATAATATGACTCCAGTCTTTTATCCCTGTCTAAACTTTTTGAGGAATTGCTACAAAGTTTATTATTTGATCTTTTATCTGAGATTATCTTGGTGCCGGCCGGCCGGCTTGATGCTTCAGTGTCTTGTGGAAGCGTCTTTCTGCGACAACGCTCAGCAGCAAGATAATAACAGCTCAAACAGCACCAGTAGTGTTGAGAAAACAAATATATCAAGTAAGCCTTGCATTGTTCCTTGTGGTCGTCGTTGGGGTCAGAAGGGAGCAGACAGAAGGTGAGAAGAACCAGGTAGGTCGATCTTAGCCTGGCCATCGCCTTCCTACTCAATTCCACTTGATTCTCATCTGCCTTCTCTCACTCTGTCTGAGCTTTCTCCCATTGACTTGGATTCCTCCAGTAGAATTTCAACCTATCCAATCAGTGAGCAGAAGGAGAAGTTGTGATCGACAACGTTGATTTTTTTTATTTCTTTTTTGTGCTGTTTGAAAACAACGTACCAGGTAAGGAATGGTAATGAACTTGGTTAGCGATCGATGGGAAGGCTAACTTCTAATATCTCTGAGCAGAAAGATGAGCAGCACTGAACTAAAACAATATCAGCAGCACTTTAATTAATTAATTAATCATAATTGACTTATTACAATCATAAATTAACCAGCGTAAAAGTTATTATTACCAATCCTTTGACAGAGTTTACTGAGATCACAGTAACAGCTGCTCGTATGTTTTAGCTTTCCCAGTGACTGATCAAAATATACTTTGAACCAGTGGATTCCTTGTAATCTCAGAATAATCTGTCAGAAAAACCGAATCCACTGTGACAGACTGGCGACCTCTCCAGGGTGTACCCCGCCTCTCGCCCAGAACATTAGCTGGAGATAGGCACCAGCACCCCTCCCGAATCCATTAAGGGACAAGGGTGTTAGAAAATGGATGGATGGATGGAAAAACCAAATCTACAGTTCTCAAAAACTGTAACGTTAATGCCAGCTAATCTAGAATCCTTTAATGGAGGTGAACATTCCCGCTTTAAGGTCAAAGCGAGTGATAAATACGTCAAATTATTTGTTTTAAGGCAGTACGGAATGATGTGACGTCTTAAAAGAAGAATTTGAATGTTTTTGATCATTTTATAAAATGAGCTTCTTTTCTTAAGAAAAAAAAAGTATCTGGTAAGAAAATTTTAGCTACTCGGGGGGGAAAAAAAGTGTTTCTGCTCTAACTGTGATCTGTGTCTACAGGGCTGCACTCCAACACGCATCAGCACCGTTTCTGGTTCTCAAAGGAAAAATGCAATTTGCAAATCTGTGTGAAAGGACTACTAATGAGTGAGCACGCATGTGTTCAACACGCTGCTCCTCTTTACCCCCAACTCATCCGGCATGCGATTTCTAAAAAAACACATTTATTTACATCAGTGGATTTATCAGTGGCAGATTTGGCAAAAATCAAACTTCTACGTATCTCAAGTTGGATTGATTTATTCGTCCTACAGGGAATAGATTCCTCACTTTTCAATGTCCGTCAGGAAGCTCGATGCCAGACAGGCTCCACGTTTCACGCTGAGGTGTTGATAGCAGCTCTTTTGGCTGCTTATTTATGAAAATCCACTTTATGCCAACCTGCATCGGTTTCCTCTCCTTAAGCCGAGCTCTGACCTTTCTTTTTTTTTTTCTGTGACCCCTCGCTCTATCCTTCATGCGGCTGTTTATATCGAGAAAGAAAATGAACCGTTTAACTAACGTCGCTTCAGTGAGGGGGCCGCCTGATTACACGATCACTAAAATAGATGTAGCATTTGCTGCGCTTCGTTCCTTACGCAACCGATTTGGCAGATGGGATGGGAGTTGAGGATTTTCAGAACATGTTTAATCACATCAGAAATACTCACTTATTTAAATAAAGCTGTTATTTACTCAGTAATTTACCATTATGAGCTGGAAAGGATTACAAATAATTAAAAAAAAAAAAGGTTACAAGTCAGGTTTTGCCCTTAGTTTGGCTTTGAAGTTGGTATTTTATTATTTTATTTAGAAACCTATAAAGAACATATGATTTTTAATCTGGAAACATTTCTCATGTTGCTGCTCTGCAACATTTTATAATCAACTGGCCTCGTTAGTGACTGAAGCATCAACTGTGTATTAATCCATGCCTAAAAGTAGTAAGGTGTGCAGCACAGATAACATGGAGTTGCCAGCTATTTTAGGGCTTCGCCTGATGTGTTTTTTATATAATTGCATTTTTTTAAGTAGTTGTCTTCATCATAAACTAACAAGCAGCTGCAGGAGAAGGAAAGTAAAGTCAGAAAGTGCTTGGAGACAGGCTTCCTGTTGGTTTGGTCTTTCTGATTATTTTTTGCTGTTGTTTTTGGCAGAAAACATTAATGAACACAGGGAATTTGACTCTGACCGTTTGCTTCCTCGGTAGTTAAAAAAAATATACAAGCTGGGATTTTTTAATTAACAGAACAACAAAAATCAAACTCAGACATACAGTGCAATGAGAAAAAGTATTTGCCACCTTAGAGATTTCTCGTCACACTTTCATGCTTCAGCTCATCGAACGAAATGTAACATGAAACAAAGACAACCGGAGTAAATACAATATGCAGTTTAAAAATCATGATTTAATTGGATTCCTTACTTAAACCTTTCTACTTTAAGTTAAATTTCACAAGCCCTAACAGTCTTGTAGATTTAGAAAATGAGTTGAAACAGAAAAAGCCTCAATTTAAAGGAGGCAGAGATCCAAAATAAAAGGTTTAAGGTTGTTAGTCAGATCTACCAAACAGAAATAAATCCGACAGCGATACCAGAGTTTCAGGGGTAAAACAATTAAAACTCCAATCA